TAACTCATAAACATCTCATATTCTGAAGCCATTATAAGTAAAAAACTTGTTTTGTATTGTTAAAGGGATAAATGAAAAATCTCATCATTCACTTACACTCGTGTTCTCAAAAACCTTTATGACTTTCTTCTGTGGAACACAAATCTTTTGTGTTTCATAGAAGAAGAAAAATGTTTGGAATGAAATGAGGGTAAGAAAATAATGACAATGTTTATTTCTGGGTAAACTATTTTTTTCAAGTTATGAAGTCACCTGACAAGAGTACTGTGAATAAAATGCCATGGAAGTGTGTGGTTAGCCATCAGAGTCTTCCAAATGTCTCTCTCAAAAACTGCTAAAATCTTGGCAGGAAGTTATGGAGGAAGTCGTGTAGGTTGGAACTGGTCTGCCTCCCTTTCCGTACCACTGCTTTTACAGTAATTGCATTTACTGAAGGGTCTGAGAGACACCTTTTTGTGGTTGCATCTCAAAGATGAGATTAAGTGAAAGAAAGAAAAAAACGTTCATGTAAAATAATTTGCAAACAATACACATTTTAAATGTTTAATGCAGGTCCAGTCTTGAATGTTTGTGATTGTGTAAGTGTGAATTAATTGAGTATCTGCTATAATAATGTGTCAGTAAATGCATGCAGAAAAAGACCGGGAATTAGAGGGGTGTGTGTGTGTGTATGTGTGTGTGTGTGTGTGTGTGAAAGTGAGCGATTACAAATTTAGCTGCTGATTCACCTCCGGCCCGCCCACTTACTGTTGGCTTCAGCTGTTTTCTGTCTCAAACTGCTCTCTGTCTCAAACCAACAAAGAGTAAGCAAAAGTGAGAATGAGAATTACGTGACCGATTCATCTTGAAGATGACATAAACCAAGCTTCTTGAAGAAATAAAAGGCTACAAAATCCCTCAAGTGCTCATTCACTCCTTTGGGTTAACTTGGAGTGTCTGCTCAGTGAATAACAATGATCCCATTCGTCGGTGACTTAAGTGAGCTCATATGTATGTGATAATCCAAGATGATCATGTCTCTGAAACAGCTTTACAGTCACAGTTTCCCTTTCAACCAGTCCCGAAAAACCAAACCTCAGAGTTCATTTAGAGCAGCACATTAATCAACTCTATACATTTCTATACACTCAATACACTTCTTCAGCTGTTGTATCAGACTCAGACGAAAACCATTTGTTCGTCACATCTCTCAGAGTGTTGTGTTTGTTCTGTGTGTGTTTAATTTAGTACAGTGCGATGCTGGGTCAGTTAGTCAAATCAGGACAGTGACGTGAGAGGCAGCATGTGACTAAACAGGCGGGAAGATTCAGCTCATCGGAAGAGAATGAGAGAGCTGCAAAATGTGAGAACTGAGTACAAACAAGACAGTACAAGAAGAGAACATTTGGTCGTTATCATTTTTGAATGGGAATGAAAATGCAGAATGTATAGGACATTGAAAGGGTTGGGAGGTTTTATATGCAGGCCAGCCACTGGTGAGACATCAGGGCGGAAGTTGACAATGCAGTTTGAGCTGGTATGAGAAAGAGAGAAGGGAGGGAGAGTGAGAGAGAGAAACCTCTAATGAATCAAGGAAGATGGGCTTTTTTAGAAAAACAAGAAAAATACATTTAACGACAGCAAAAGAAACAGAATTCTTGGTGTATTACTTATTATAACCGATTTTTAAACGAGATGTCAAAACGAAACTGCAGTGGCAACGAATGAATGGGTCTAACTCTTCGGCTCTTGGCAGGGAAATACTGCATCATTGGGTATCGATGGTTATGTTTGTTTGTGTTTTTTCGAGTTCTGTCTTCCTATAAATCAAGTAAGTGACAGTATCCGAGTACATATATTTTTGTCTTTACATTTTACTCAGTGTCGTATTTTGCCAGTGTTTTGATTTAGTTGTTGAGATGTTACAAGTTGTTGTCATTTATGTTAAAGGGCCAAAATATATTCCCGGGTATTCTCGAGGGTATGCGGTTCATCCATATATTTAAAAAGGCGTACGAAAAACTATTGGTTGTCCCTTGACCCCCCTTCATGACGTTTTTTGTTCTTATTTGTCAAGTTCACTGCATAAACTCACGTAGCCACCTTTCTGTCTCAAACAGATGAATATTAACAATATTCGCGCTCCGTTAAACGCGATTAATTTGCGAGATGGATCCTACGTATCCTTCGACTTCATATTCGGGATTTGAGAACTTTATTACGAGTTGTAGGACTGAAGCTCCAAACATTAACAGGTGGGTGAGAAGGTAGCTGACCTGTATACGAGCTCTGCATAAAAGTCTTTATTTATCAGCAAATCTGATGTAATATTGTTCGCTTTTACATTTATGCAATTTTGGAGATATTTCATCCTGTTTTTAATATTTTTATCCTTGGTTTGGGCAGAGGTGCCTGATTGCTAAATGCTAAGTAACATGTGCTGGATAAGAACTGTGATAAGACACAAGGAAAAACCATGTTGAGTCTTAGTATTATCTCCGAACTATGATTTTTAGTGATTATTTATTTCGGCTTGTTATACATTTATGATTTTATATGCATTATAGAAAATTTAAGTTGTGCAGTGATGCGTCAGCCATTTTGTGAGTATGCAGAAGATATGCAGTGTTTTTTTTTATATATATATATTTCCTCGTTTCCTTTCGATTTAAACATATTATGAGATTAATTATTTTTTCTTATATTATGCAGTCATTCAAGCTTGTCTTTGGTCAATTTTATGCTATTATGTTAACTGCATATCAGAATTACACTTTTGGAGAGAAAATGCGGAAATGTTAATGTGACATGGGGTTTATCATTTATTGTAACCATCACTAAAAATTAAGAATTCAAGTTTTGGATTTGTATGTTTAATACTGAAAATTTTGACAAATCGATTCTATTACAGTAATAATAATGATAAGCTAGAATTCATTTTTTCTAAATATACTTTGAACAAACATACAAAGTCAATGCTATTAATGAAAAGATATGCTAGAAATAAAATTACACAACATATGTACTCAAAAAAATATGCATTTACTGTACAATGATATTTCTGAGTGTCTTTTATCTATAAAACCAAGTTAAAAGGTTGGAAAAAAGTGCCTATTGAGATTACATAAATGTAAGAGTTTACAGGTGATCTTCTATTTGCTTGAATAAAGGGCACACACTATAAACGACATAAAGTGAATTTTGTATCATTATCTGATTTTTCTTTTAACAAAGAGAAATTCCAAAACATCAAAAACCAGGCGATTTTTAGCTGTATATTTTAGAGCTTTTCTCGAATGTTCCCTCACACACAAACACACACCAGTAAGCTTGCCTTTCTCTGAAGCATCATCAGAAAAAAGGCACTGATTTTAATGTTTAATTTTTTTTCATTTGTCCACAACTAGATTTACGATCGATCATCATATTTTTTCTTTTTTGTGAAAAATGAATTACAAAAAACGAAGTCGTGTAAAAGATATGTCATTTGGAATGATGTTCTACGTGATGTAAAGGCAAAGATAGTCTTTGACATCATAATAATTAATTGCTCATAATTTTATATAACAAATAATCAGCAATTAAGTGTGCAAATAGCAAAGGAAAAACAATAATTAGTAACAAAGTTTCATTATGTCTTTTATACTGTAATGGGTCTATTACATATTCTACAAAGTAAGGTTTTTTCCTTTCTCTGAAATATGTGAATTATACCACCGCACTTTGTAATGTTAACTATGCAATACAAAATATATGTGTGGGATTCTACTTTTGTCTCTTTTTTTACTCTTTTCTTTTTATTATAATACCAATAACACATTTCAAAATGAATCACACTCTTTATGAATGAATCGCAATATCAGATTAATCGGTTTTGCTTGAAAATATTAGACTATTTTGAGAAAATATGGTGATTTGCATTGTGACTGATTTGTCATTTTTTTGTTATCTCAGAGAACAATGGAGATGCAGAAGTGTAATTAGTAGTTTCATATGGGAGTATAATTTTTAAATTATAATTCTAAGCTAACTTTTTCCGATGGTTTTATTTCTTCTGTGTGTTATTAAATCACAAAATGCAAAACAGAGAATGGTGTTACTGTTGACTCATATTCTTTATATCACTGGTTGCTGGATCACAGTTTCTGTTGCAGACCAAAAACTGTCTCTAAGCTCCATTAACTTTGTAATATACGTACAAGCATTTGTTTCTCATAACATGCCCTCATAAATGCATGCATTCTGTAGAATGTGAATTGAAAAGTTAAATATTTTAAATGTGAGTGACATATGTAAATAAAAAAACTTTTGAAATTTTATTCATTATACCACTTTCAGTCTGAGTGGTGAATCGATTATGAAAGACCTCATTTTCTATTATGTAAGTGATGTGGGGACACAACTGACTGGTCAAAAGTTTCAAGTATGATTTTATAACTCACAGGTAGCAATGACAGAAATTCTGTGGCTGTGAGGGTGAACAGTTCTTTTGGTAGGCCTCTGGAGTTCATTATTTGGGGACATTCCTGCAGCCACATACAACATAATATATGTCTGCAAAAATTAGTGACTTTCGGTTTATCCCTCTGTTAGATTTTTATAGTTTTAATTTGATGCTTACCATGCCATATCCTGTAGATGAACTCATGAGTTTTTCAAACCTATTAGAATCAATGGCCCATCTGTCTCGGTGTTATCAATCTCTAACTTCTTACTTTGCTTATGCATCGATAGATAGGCTTTGCAAAATACTTCATGTCATATAGTTTTTTATATATATAAATATATATAAAATAGAATTAAAATCAAATCTTTCGTACTCGGAACGCGCTCGCGCGACTAAGTGCAACGCAGTGTAATAAAGAAACACTGGATATTTTAAACAACTTCCTTACTACGCAGATCCCGCGCATTTTGTCTAGTTGTCTATTAGAAACGTTCATTTTCCGTATATTTTTTTGTTCTTTTCCCCCCCCCCATTTAATTCCTTCTCTCTGTGAGCCCGGTTGTCAGTCAGGTGATGCTGACGTCGGCAGACTCCTCCTGCAGGGGAATCCCCGCAAACTCCACGCGTGGATTTTGCTTTGGGTTTGTTTGAAGCCCGTTTTTTTGTGTTGTTTTGGTCTTTGTTTGAGTACCACGGAACTCATCACGGCAAGACTCTTACAAGAGTAACGAAAAAAAAAACATTTGGGGAGAGGAGGTCGGTGAAGTAAATTATCGCAAGGTAAAAGAGAGACAATTGTGCTGATTCTTTGGAATTTTTTCAGCGTATTCCGCACCATAGGCACATACCGCCACCAACTTGTTTCTATTCATACATGGATGATAATTGTGCTGATTCCTAATTTGTTAGAACATAAATCCGTTCTTCATTAAGTGTTTGATTCGAAACTATTGCGTGCATTAAAGTCGGGATTTGAAGTACAAGATTACTTAATGCGTGCAGATATTGTTATTTTAACGAGCTGACGTCGATGCGATTAAAATTGAAATTTGAAAATTGAATAAAACTAATGAATTAACAGGAACGGAAACTCAAGAGGCCCGACGGCGCTTTAAACGTTATTGAACCGTCATAGCTGTGAAGCGCTAGCTTACTAGCTAGCAGTCGAAAATGTTGAAATATGCTTTTACTGTAACAAATTAATTTGTCTTTTAGAAATTTGTATTTAATATCTTAGTATTTTCCCCCTTTAACAGTATCTTCAAATGAGCGTTTAGTTTTAGAAGCAAATTAACGTAGTTATCTAAGCGGTATTTTCGCAACTCGGCTCTCAGAGAAGATCGTTTCTGAGCGTTTCCACTGAGCATAAAACTTCACGATAATATTTACAAACGTGATTTGGTTGTTTAATTTGAAAGTTATCGCACTTCGCAAAAAGACAACATCGCCGCGGCTGAACCGTTTTCAAAATATCGAGCGATTGTGAGTTGTATTTTTATCATATTTTGCCTCAAGCGTTGAGCTGACTGAAAGTTTTGTTATATCTGTAGTATATCTGCGAATCTAAAACAAGCCATGGCAGAAAGTCAAGAATTTGCTGACCTGTGGGAGCGAAACCTCATGTAAGTTTGCAACACTCTCCTGAGACCCCGAGTTGGTCATATCCTCAGTTTTATGTGGGTGCAGGCAATATTATTTCTGTTTTCTGTAATCATTTTTGGGTATTTATTTATTTTTGGTTGGTCAAGAAAAGATCCATTGAACTTTTCATTGTGCATCAGTACTCTGCTGTGTGTATTGTGTGTGCTTTATTAGTTAAATGCTAAACCAATTCTCTCTTTCTTCCAATTTGTGTCTCAGTTCCACTCAGGAAGGTGGCCCTTGCTGGGACTTGATCAATGATGAGGTATTAAAAAAAAAAAATTAAAAAAAAAGCATGTATATACACACACATACCATACTCATATTCATACTTGTTTTTTCAATGCTGGACTCTTACGTGTTTCAGCAGTATCTTCCAGGCTCTTTCGACCTGAATATTTTTAGTAATGTGCTGACTGAACAGCCTCAGCCTTCCACCTCCCCTCCGACCGCCTCTGTTCCTGTTGCCACTGATTATCCTGGGGAACATGGCTTCAAACTGGGCTTCCCTCAATCTGGCACTGCCAAGTCTGTCACCTGCACGGTAAGTTAAAAATACATACGCACACATACATCCATGCATACAGTACTCAACTTACATTAAAAGTGACATTTGAGTGTACTCGATCACTCCTGTAATTCCTCAAATTTCACATTATACGTGCACTATACACTAGCATCCTAAATAAATGAAAATCAATTTAGTAGTTTCTGATTATTGCCATTGGTTGTTCATATTCTGATTGGAAATAAAATGGTTTCTAGTGAGTGCATAAATAAGTGTTAGTGATAATATATAGTTAAAAGTTAGTGACAGTTAGTAGTGAACTAACATTAGTATGTATTAGTTTAAGTGTGTACATGGTTGCACGTGTACCTGAGGTCATGTAGAGACTCAAATTGTCCTTTCTGGTGAGCGCTGAATTGGAATGTTGCCAGGATACCACGAGACTTCATTCATTCTACATCACCTCTTTCGTTCCTGTCTTGAATAATACTTCCAAATTCCCATCTTCTGTGTATTCGCCACTCAAGTTTAGAGAGCTGATGTGGTCATTCAGCATGTCAATCTAACATGTGGAGTGGGCAAATAAGAAATTGAATTTGGCGTTTCTTATTGAATTGTCTGCAGACATGAATAGGCATGTTCTCATGTGGAGTGCCAAACAGTTCTCCAGTAGCCTTGGGGTTAAAAAAAAAAAAGTGCTGCCCCCCCACCCCCCACCAAATCTTCTCTCTTTCATCTGTTGTACTTTTTTTGGTTCAGACCTTTTATATCCTAATTTTTTAGCAAGACTATTTAGACTATAAGCTATTATGTCACACAACCCTACATAAGTGGTTTGGAGAATGGATAGAAACAAGTATGTAGATTCAAATGGCATAAAGTTATTAGAAATTCATCATGTATTTGTTTCAAGAGGTTGCACAAAGAAATGGCTGTGTGTTTGGCATACATTTACACTTATGCATTTAGTAGATGCTTTTGTCCAAAGCTACTTACAATAGAGGAAAATAACTCATCACACAGCCAATAACATTCATTGTGTACAATGCCAGGTTTATTATAAAGCTAAGTTAGGAAAAAGCTATAGCTTATGTAATTTGTCTGTGTACTTTAGCAAATATAGTTTAATACACACTCTCTTGACTGTCCAGTATGTAGAAAGGGGTGTTGCTCTAAGATGACTGCATGACAAAAGATAAGATGACTGCATTAGTTGTCAGTCAAAAAAGCTTTCAGGTACTCCTCAGTGTACAATACCATGTTATGTATATGAGTATATTCATGTTATGAGTAATGAGTTAAATTCATGTTAAAACAGGTAATGAGTCCTATTTCTAGCTTAGTCAGTCTCTGTTGTGTTTAGCCCTCTAACATTATTAAATCTGACAGTACTTATATTTTATTTATTCCTATAATCAGTGAAATCTCCTTGTTAATTTCTTTTTCTTTTTTTCTTTTTTTTTTTTTGCCTTTTTATTTTTATTTTTAGCAGCAATATTTTTATTAGTAAGCCTGTATCTGTGGAGTTTGAACATGTCTGAACTTGTCCTGGTAGAACAGTGGGGGGAGGGGTTGTCTGTTTCTACAGAAACTGCAGTCTTCAAGACTCCAAGCAGGGACATTTAGCATCCAAAACTTTTCAGTCTAACCATTGTAGGGAGAATTGCATCCTGTGAAACAGAGTTTTAGGAAAGAGAGTAGAGTTTAAGGTTGTTATAGTGCAAGTCAAACTGGTGTCTTTCAGATCCTGTGAGAAACTACAGGACTGCATATGATCTGGATGGTAAGAGGAAAATACAATTTCAAAAGCTCAAATGTGAATGGGATAAAGTCTTGAGTTTTTTTTTTTTTTTCAAAATCTGTGAGTTTTTGTTGTTAAGTTTTTGAAACTTTTGTTGATGCTTGCAATTTTTTCCGTCCTTTTTAATGAACTAGGTTTTGGTTAGATAAACCATATGTTTGTATTTTATTACTCGTATTATTTTCATTATGTACTTTTTTTTTCTGGAGTAATAAATACATATTAAATGTGTTAATTAAAAAATTTACATATTTTCTAAATCAGCAAGCTTATTGTTAAAGTCCGAGTGAACCGGAAGTTGCTGCCGACTTTATTTCAGTGTAGTGACCTATTTCCTTCTGAAACAGAATATTGAATAGAGGGCATGGTTTTATTTGGGCACTCCTCCTCTCTGTCTCTTGCTCATATCCTCATATCAAACTAACGGTTGGAGGGGTGTGTTTAAAAGGATATTCTGCCCAAGCCATCAAACTGTCATCATCAGAGAAGGACTGCCATTCCAGAGCAGAAGCAAATGTTCAGATTTTGATTAAAGATTACCAAGACAAACAATTTTTTTCAGCGGATTAACTTGCACGGATTAATTGTTAACATCAAGACTAGCAATGTGCGCTAGTAAAGTAAATAAAGTCAATTTTGATTTCATGCCGACTTTAAAGGCTGTGTATTTGCTACACCTGTAGTGGTGGTGCTTCAAATGGGATGAATGTATTATTATTAGCACACTGTCAGCCCATTAAAACCTCTCTTCAAGACATTCACCTTTAAAGCACCACTGCTAAGAAAAAAAAAAATGCAGTTGAAGTAGCTGACCTCACTGATGAACTAGTAGTTGATTGTTGGACTGCGAGTTGGCCATCTTAACCTATCTTTTATTTTAATCAGCATTCTCAGGAATTGCAACATAAATGTTTTGAATGTTCTATTAACTTGTGTGATTACTACAAATACTAATGACTATGACGTATTATTTTTTATTTTTTTCAACGTGTGACTTTTGTATATATGAACTTGATGTTCTTTTCCTTTTCTTTGATTTCAGTACTCGGCTGACCTGAATAAGCTCTTTTGCCAATTGGCGAAAACGTGTCCAGTTCAGATGGTGGTGGACGTTGCCCCTCCCCAGGGCTCGGTGATCAGAGCCACAGCCATTTATAAGAAGTCCGAACATGTGGCTGAGGTGGTCCGTCGATGTCCCCACCATGAGAGAACCCCAGATGGCGATGGTATAGACATGTTCTTCCTCATCCAATCTTGCACCATTGTACAGGAATACACTAGCTATACTGATACAAGTTCCACTAAAAGCAATTAACAGGTCTGTTTACTCCCTGTTCAGCATTGGCTCCTCCTGCTCACCTGATCCGAATGGAAGGAAACTCGCGTGCTGTTTACAGAGAGGACGACATAACCTACAGGCACAGTGTGGTGGTTCCCTATGAAGCTCCTCAAGTCAGTCTCAGTATTTTGATCTGTAATAACATTAGACAGCAAGAGTAAATGACAAAAATGTTCATTTTCATTTAATTGCAAATGTATTAATCTTTGTCTGCAACACAGCTATAAGTTTCATTTTTTTTCAGCTGGGAGCAGAATGGACAACTGTTTTGTACAATTTCATGTGCAACAGCAGTTGCATGGGTGGCATGAACCGCCGACCCATCCTCACAATCATCACTCTGGAGACTCATGAGTAAGTAGTCCATCTTTGATTCCTCTGTTAGTGAATTGTATTCCTATGTGGATTAGGGATGGGCATTCCAAGCAAAAATAATATTCGAAAATCGCAGGGTATTATTTGATTATTATTCGAAAATCGCACCCCTCACCCGCATGCACGCACAAACACCCATAAACTGAGAGAGAGGGAGAGAGACGGGATTCAAACTTTCAGTCTGTATTAGGGATGCACCGATACCACTTTTTCCAGTACTCGCCCGATACCGATACTTTTATTTTTGGTACTTGCCGATACCGAGTTTTATTGCATTTGTACATTTTTAAAATATTGGGTACAGAAACCAAAAGAGTATGTATAATGTTAGTTGGTTAACTTCATTTATCAAATAGATACAGTCAAACCAAAATTTATTCAGACACCTTCAACATTTCTCCCATTATCACAGTTTATTCGCTATAGTTTAGAAAATAGTAATAAAATATAACAAGAACAAGTTAAACGGAGTCAGAACAAATTCAGCTTGATAATGTCAGATAACTTTGATAGAAAGGTATGTAATAGATTACAATCAACCAAAAAATATTCAGACAGCTGTTAGTATGACAGTATTTACACAACTATGAATACTTTGTCGGGCAACCCTTAGCCTCAATGACAGCCTGTAGTCTCCTGGGCATGCTGTCAACCAGGTTCATG